GGGGGGGGGGGGATGTTGGGTTACTAGTACATATAATCCACTTGTCAAGCATCTTACATCAGAGGGTCTTGCTAACTTCAACAATGTATTGCAATGACCAGAAAAAGGGGAAAGAGATATATCTCAAGTTCAAAAACTAAGAGTAGATATAGAAATATTAAGCATACCCGAACTATCTCTTCATAAGTTTCATCATCAATCTCGATTGTGGTCACAATTTCTTCAACATCACCAAGAATCATATTAAGATGCTGATCATAAGCCTGTAAAGGAAAACCCATAAGCGCTTAGTGTCAGCGCACAGCTTTTCTCACTAATGATTTTACGGAATTGGAAAACTCAAAAGTCGTGTGATGCCAGTGAAATTAAACAAGAAGTAAAAGAGAAAAGAAAACATCTAGAAATATTAAAGCAGATAAATAACAAGATGTTCCCTTAAAAAATAACATAATCCAGTAATTTCCAGCAACATCATGTAATTGTTCTTCAGCATTACTAATAATGCAACTATGTTACAGCTGTCTTATTTTCCTAATCCAGACTATGAGACCAGGCAGCCAAATATTTGCAGAAATAGGCAAACAAGAAAAGCAACCACCAGTTTACATGCAGGTAAAATGCATTTCATATAATGTCTGTGCAAATCAGGAAATTAATGTACTGCAACTGCAAGTAGTTTTCATTGAGACACATCATTGCTTATTCCCTCTCCCAAGGTTCTTTGTCAAAAATTTCACGTTTAACCCACCTTGAAATCTGAATGCTAACATTTGGAAATGTTACCTCTACACATTGCTTGAATAATAGTCTAGGTTTACTTTCACAGAAACGTTTCTGCCTCTATTGCTTTCCGATTGTTCCTACTTTTCAGACATCTTATTTTTCAAGAGATAATGACAAATAAAATACCAATCCATTTCCCATGTTTGTATTACCTGCTTGAATAATGATAGTGCATTAGTATCTTTAAACACCCACTTTCCTATTTTTATGCGTTAGCTCATATTATTATAGTCTTCAATATCAATCTAGAATTTTTGCACCGCTATATTCGTACAGAGCTGACCCCAACTATCTTGGAATTGAGGCGTAGTTGTTGTTGTTGCTACTATAATCTTTAGGACTACATAAGCAACATGAAAATTCAGTAGGTTTTTAGGCAAAATAAGCATACACTTTGATTTATATGATTGTGCTCTCTCTACAATTACTAGTATGTGCTAATGCGCAATAATTTGCACCAGGTGCGGCTATATAAATAATGTAAATATTATCCATCTAATTGGAAAAAATATTCTGTTAAACAAATGAACCTGAACATAAGGTAAAAAAGTAGAAAACAAAGAAACAGCATAAACCCTAGAATAAGAAACAAAAGGGGCAAAGGTACATCATAGGCTAGCTAGAAAAATCGTAAGAATCCACCAAGTTACATACATACATAGCTCAATATGAATATTCGACCAGATAAACTATCAACAAGAAAGATAGATGAAACATGGGCAACAAAAAATGGAAAAAAAAAAAAAAAAAAAAAGGACTAATCTATAATCTAGAAAACAAGTTTCATTATACTACCAAGAAAGATAAAGGACTTATCTCTGGGAAATATGCTTGGTCAATTGCTTGGTAGGATAGAAATATTAGTTTCTATCAATTTAGGAGGGGTGTTACACATATGNAGATAAATTATCACCAAGAAAGATAGAGGAAACATGGGCAATAAAAATTGGAAAAGGAAGAAAAAAAAAGGAGAGGAAACAGTTAAAAATACATGAAGTTTGCCGCGGAGTTCTCTGTCGGAACGGAGTTTAACGTAGATTCTCTCGTCAAGACTGAGCCTTATGAGATCCAATGGCTCCTTCACTGCACTCTCCTCTTCACTTCCCATTGCGCTCTCTCTCTCTCTCGGGAAATTCAGACGCGACTATTTGATTTTATTAGCCAAAAGATTATGTTATATGGAAGTGGGGAGGGTTAGTCGTTGTGGTTTAGAGGCGCAGGTCCAAAGGTAGGCCCATCTAATAGGCTCGGCCCAATCGAGAAGGAATTTAAGGCCTCTTTAGTTTCCAATTTGACAATTTGGTTGGTGAAAATAGCACGGGCTAGTCAGTTTTTGGACTGGTAATTGAAAAATAGTCAGCGTTTGTAAAGTTAATGAAAAATAGCCACTATTTTGCCGCAACATGAAAAGTTCCAACATAATATACTGGAGATTGGTGCACATGTGTATGAACTTCCAGCATATTATGTTGGAACTCTATCACATGGAAAGTTCCAACATAATATACTAGAGATTGGAGCACCTGAGTATGAACTTCCAGCATATTATGCTAGACCAGTATATTATACTGGAACTTTAGTATATTATGCTGAAAGTTCACATGTAAAAAATTCGAACTCCAATATATTATGCTGGAATATTTTTCGGATTTTGAACAATATTTTCGTTCAGATTTATCTTTACATGAAAAGTGGTTAACTTTCGATTACTTTTGAAACTGTAGCTATTTTTCAATTACCACTTGTAAATCTTGCTATTTTGAGGAGTGTGTCTATTTCTGAGAATCAATTTGGGTTTATGTCGGGGTGTTTGACTACATAAGCCATCCACCTTATTAGGAGATTGATGGAGCAGTATAGGGAGAGAAAGAAAGACTTGCATATGGTGTTCATCGACTTGGAAGAGGCGTACGATAAAGTTCCGAGGGAGTTTTGTGGAGATGTTTGGAGGCTAGAGGTGTACCTGTTGCCTATGTTAGGTTGATTAAGGACATGTATGATGGAGTAAAGACCCGAGTGAGGATGGTGTGTGGGGACTCGGACCATTTTTCGGTGATTATGGGGTTGCATCAGGGGTCGGCACTCAGCCCTTTTTTGTTTGCTCTGGTGATAGATGTATTGACGCTCCCACATCCAAGGGGAGGTGCCGTGGTGCATGCAATTTGCAGATGATATTGTATTAATTAACGAGACGCGAGATGGTGTGAATGCGTAATTAGAGGTATGGAGGCAGACCCTGGAATCTAAAGGTTTCAAGTTGAGCAGGACCAAGACAGAATACTTGGAGTGTAAGTTTAGTGGCGAGACTCAAGGAGGGGAAGGGGAGGTGAGGCGGGACTCGCAGGTCATCCCTATGAGAGGGAGTTTTAAGTACCTTGGGTCTATTATTCGGGGGGCTGGGGAGATTGATGAATATGTCACACATCGTATTGGGGCGAGATGGAGGAAATAGAGACTCACTTCTGGTGTTTTGTGTGACAAGAAGGTGCCACCGAAACTTAAGGATAAGTTTTACAGAGTGGTAATCGGACCAACGATGTTGTATAGGGCTGAGTGTTGGCCAGTCAAGATCGCTCATGTCCAGAAGATGAAGGTAGTAGAGATGAGGATGTTGAGATGAATGTGCGGACACATCAGGTTAGATAGGATCAGAAATGAGGTTATTCGCGACAAGGTAGGTGTGGCCCCTATTGAGGACAAGATGCGGGAAGCGTGGCTCAGGTGGTTTGGTCATGTGAGGAGGAGGAGCACAGACGCCCCGGCGAGGAGGTGTGAGAGGTTGACATTGGAAGGCCTACGAAGAGGTAGAGGTAGGCCAAAGAAGAGGTGGGGAGAGGTGAAACTTGTCTAGTTTAGGTTCCAAATAAAGCCATCGGTAGCTCACTGAAAACTCCTTGTATAGTTTCGAAGGCATATATACCCTCCAAATACAAATACATAGACGATAATCACAATGATTATTGTGGATGAAAATCATTACGACCATGAGTTATGATTGCACCCTTGCATTATTCGTGGGAATAGTATAGGATACAAGAATATTTTCGAGCATTTAAAACAAATTCTTTCGACTTTTTCTCTATTTCAGAAAAGCCAAACCATATTTGTGATTCGTTCCTTTCATTATCGTCCATATATAGAGGAAGTGATTTTTAAATAATACTTTCCTCCTTTTCATTTTATATAAATACTATAGTTAAGGCACTATAGCAAAGAGGAGAGAAGAAAAAAAGGTGTAATTGAATCCCCTAATTTAAGGCACTAATAATGAATTATATATGGAGAGAGGCGCAGAGATTAGGTAAAGAGGAGAGGAGAGAAAAAATGTATAACTAAATCCCCTAATTTAAGGCACTAATAATAGATTGTATATGTCACGACCCGAAATTTCCCACCGACGGGACCGTGATGGCGCCTAACATTTTATTTGCTAGGCAAGCCAACGTTAGAGAATAATTAAACCAATTCCTTATTCCCATTAATTAATTAACAATAATTAACTAAGATAAAATATAATAAGTGAGGAATATCATAAAACTATATTAATTACTACCACCCGGATCTGGAGTCACAATTCACGAGCATTCTAGAATTTACTATAAGTAATAGTCTAAAAGAAATACAACTGTCTAAATGAAAGAAACAGTAGAACAAAAAAATAGACGGGGACTTCAAGGTCTGTGAACGCCGACAGATCTACCTTGAGTCTCCGGACAGCGAACCAATAGCAAAATCACAATCAACCCGAGCCGGTATCAAAATCTGCACAGAAAGTGCAGAGTGCAGTATCAGTACAACTGACCCCATGTACTGGTTGTCGAGCCTAACCTCGACGAAGTAGTGACGAGGCTAAGGCAAGGCACCTACAAATCAACCTGTACAATTTAACAGTGTATATATAAATAGCAGAAATGAAGAACTACACGGGAAATGTCGGGAAGGGAACATACTGAGGGGAATACAAGATAAAGAATTACAACAGAATAATCACCGGAGCAGTCAATATACCATGAATCATCAGGAATAGTGAATACAGTAAGGAAAAATGCACGACATCATCCTTCGTGCTTTTACTCTCAATCTCACCATAAAATTAATAGAAACGACACGACATCACCATTCATGAATTAGCTTTCATATCATGGCACAACATCACCCTTCGTGCTTTTACACTCACAATATGGCACGGCATCACCCTTCGTGCATTAACACTCACAAAATGGCACGACATCACCCTTCGTGCATTAACACTCACAATATGGCACAACATAAACCCTTCTTGCATTAACACTCACATTATGGCACGACATCACCCTACGTGCATTAACACTCATAATACGGCACGACATCACCCTTCGTGCATTAACACTCACAATATGGCACGACATCACCCTTCGTGCATTAACACTCTCCCTTACCATAATGCAATGCATAAATAACAACAAGGAGATGGAATAACAAGTACAAACCTTACTTCAATATTCGGTTCCACAATATAAATCTAAACTTTTAAATGAATACTCGATTACCAACAGAAAATCCGTAACCATGATAATGACGATCAATTTAACAATAATAGTATAAACATATAGCAATTAGGCATATGAAAGAGACAATATAAGAAAACGGAAGAAACATGGAATACAGGTAAATTGGTGGCGTATAAGTACTCGTCACCTCACATATACGCCGCTCACATGAATTTCACTTAGCAAATAATCTAAGGTTCCTAATTCCCTCAAGTCAAGGTTAGACACAACACTTACTTCGCTCGAAGGTCACTTAATTTTCAATCACAACTTTTCCTTTGGAATTCACTTCCAAACCTCCCGTATCTATTCAAAAATGACTCAATAACATCAAATATTGCTAAAGGAATCAATTATTATGCATAAATTAAATTTCCCAAATTTTCCTCCAAAAAGTCAAAAAATTGACCCTAGGCCCGCTTGGTCAAAACTCGAGGTTCGGACCAAAATCCATTTACCCATTCACCCCCGAGCCCGAATATATAATTGGTTTTGGAATCCGACCTCAAATTGAGGTCTAAATTCCCAAATTTTTGAAAATTCTAGTTTCTACCCTAACCCCTTATTCTACCATGAAAACTCTAGATTTTAGGTTGATAATTCAAGAAATGTAACGGTAATTGAAAGAAAATGGTTTAGAATCACTTACCAACACTTTGAGGAAGAAAATTACTCTTGAAAATTGCCTCTACCCGTTTGGTTCTTGAAAAATATTGAAGAAATGGCGTAAGCCCGTGTTTGATTATGTTTTATGCATTGGGCGACAGTGTGTATCGCATTCACGAGGCCATTGTCGCTTTCGCGAAAGGTACTGGCTGCCAAGCCTTTGCGTTCGCGATACCTTGCTCGCATTCGCTATGGTTACTCCCCCCTGGCCTTCGCGTTCGCGAGACATTGCTCGTGTTCGTGATGAAGGAACGACCAACCCTTCCCCAGGCCCTTAAGTGCTTCGCGTTCGCGATGAGCCGGTCGCGTTCGCGATGAGCCGGTCGCGTTCGCGATGAGCCGGTCGTGTTCGCGAAGGGTAAATCCCCCATCACTTCGCGTTCGCGACCAGACCTTCGCATTCGCGAAGAAGAATTCTCAGCCTCACCAGTTTACTCTTCGCGTTCACGAGAGGACCTTCGCGAACGCGAAGAAGGATATGCCAAACACCAGAATCTGCAGAAAACTAGATTTTTCCCAAGTCCAAAACATCCCGTGGCCTATCATAAAGTCACCCGAGTCTTGGGGCTCCAAACCAAACATACACACAAGTCTAAAAATATCATACGGACCTGCTCGCGCGATTAGATCGACAAAATAACACCTAGAACTCCGAATTTAGCACCAAATCAAAGGAAATTCTCAAGAACACTTTAAAATTTCTATTTTCTCAACTGGACGTCCGAATCACGTCAAATCAACTCCGTTTCTCACCAAATTTCACAGACAAGTCTTAAATATCATAATGAACCTGTACCGGGCTCCGAAACCAAGATACGGACCCAATACTAACAATGTCAAACATCAATCAATTCTTAAAAATAAATAATTTTCAAACTTTTAATTTTTATCAAAAATTTATAACTCAAGATAGGGACCTCCGAATTCGATTCCGGGCATACGCCCAGGTCCCATAATTCGATACG